AGAGAGAGAGAGAGAAAGGAGCAAAAGTCACGGTTCTGGCACGTTGATAGCGAGCCTCCAAGCGCTCCTATCCACCGCTAAATCCTTGGAGATATTCCAATCTTTAAGGTCTCTCTTAACCGACTCTTCCCAAGTGAGTTTAGGCCGACCTCTACCTCTCTTAACATCCTCGACCGCTGTAGAACTCCCCTACGCACCGGTGCATCAGGAGGCCTCCGTTGGACATGTCCGAAACACAATTTTTTTTTTTTTTTTACAAAAAATCTAGTGGAGTTACCGTATTTTCTTGGATTAGCTGTCCTTTCACCAACAGTGGTTCGTAGGTCGAATAGAAAAATCTCGGAATCACTAGCCGAGCCTTTTCTGAGACCAACTTGTTGAGAGCTTCATTGTGTAGATATACTAAATCCGAAGCATTTTTCAGGCACTCAACGTCACGTTCTAGGTTATAGATTTTGAGGCCTGGCGAACACCCCAAGTCTAGCACGTTTTGCAGCACGAATTTTCTCCCTCCTTGATTGTATATTGCCTGCATAAAAATTTAGTATTTGTAATTCCCAAAAAAATACTAACTTTTTGGCAATTGGGCCAAAAACTCGAGGGTAGTTCTTTTAATGTTCCAATTGATTCATTTGATTTACACTTACTTCGACTATGGTCGATAGTTTCCGATCACCATGTCCACGTACTGCCGGTGGTCGAAAATGGTGGAATTCAGTTCGAAGGGGATGATGTAATCAGTCGCGCCAAAGGTAATGTAGTGGACTGCAGTTGATGAAACCTTTCGAGCTTCATTAGGGCCTAATCTTTTGCTTAATTCACCAACTTCAGTTTTGTAGTTTTGCAGCTGTGCTTGGAGACTAATTGCCTGAAAACTTGTCAAGATTAATCTGTATCTAAATTATTCGAAAATTGAAAATCTGAACCTTTTTAACAAAGATGCATACTTTTGTACTCGAATGTCATACATTAAAAGAACTGAAATAATATGCACATTTGTTCGAAACGTATGACGAGCTAAGCCCGTGAAATTTGTGGTGGCTTTTTATTTTTTTAATTATATGAAAAATTTGGAAAATAGAAGAACATACAAAGCCTGGGAAAGTGGTTGGCAAAGCCCCAGCTACAGCTGATGCAAAGTTGGCTCCATTGTAATTTTGGTCGATTGTTCGAGTTTTATCAAGATAAACCGGAACCAAATCTTTCAATCCGGCAAGCTGAGCTAGAAAATCGGGTATGATCCGGCCGTCTGAGAATCTTCCGGTGGAGTTTTTGAAGTAGGTCTCGCCGTAAGGCAGGAAATTCGCCTGGTTGAGAGTGCTCGTGTTTATGTAGTTGTTGTTACCGGAGTCGACATACGAGTCGCCGAAGATGAAGATGGCCGGAGGTTTGCAGGTGACTTCCAGGCTGTTTACTACAGCATCAATGCTGATGAAGATGATGAGAAAGAAAGGTAATATTGTTGTCATTTGGAGAATATCATGAGATTTTTTTTTTCTTTTTTTCTTTTTTTTTTTTTTTTTTCNATATACACACATTCATGATTCATGAAATAGTTTAAAGATCCATGAAATTATATAATTAGAGATAACCTTAATTATCATTATGTGTATTTATGGAATTTCAAGGATTTTTTTTTATAAATTATAAATGGAATTATTTCTTGTTTAAAGAGATATGGATTGCAGTAGATTTTACGGAATTATATGGACTGTTTGGAGAAAAACATGGAAATTTCATAGAATTTTGAGATTGGTTTTTATTATTATGTTATACTGATTGTTCAAAATTGTGGATTCTCTCATATTCTAATTATTAATGTACCAGTGCAGAGCCCGTACTTGCATAGCATGTAATATTGTATTATCACACGTGCAAAATAAAATCTACATCTTAAGTTCATATTTTTTGTTTTTAATAGAATAAAATACTTTATTTTAGATCATATATATTTAATCTGTCCAAATTGATCTACATATCGGCAATTTAAATTTTGAATTTGAAGATAACCCGAATCTATGATTGCAAAATATCGTTTAATAACTAAATCAACCGCAACTTTAGGATTTGGTATTTTGAAACCTAGAAAAAAATAAAATCATTAATTTAGGGGAGTTATGTGATAAATCTATCTAAATCTTGTATACATCACGTTTTACAATTAAAGCAATTTAAACATAGAGATTAAGATATTTTGAATATCTGATTTAAACAAAGACCATAAAAAATTTGATTTGGTATTTTGAAATTTAAAAAAAAAAATATTAATTTAGAGGATGATATGTGATAAATCTATCTAAATCTTGTATACATCACGTTTTACAATTAAAGCAATTTAAATACGGAGATTATTCTTATTTCAAATCTCTGATTTAAACAAAGACCATAAAAAATTTGATCGTTTCAAAATTAGACCCGTGTATTATTTTTCTTTATAAATATTTGTCAACAAAACAATTGAATAGCCGCAACTTTATTCTTTTAATTGAAACTGCCCGATTTGATGGTTAGAAAAAATGTTTTCAAAAGAAATAAACAAATATATATATATTTTTTTATAATTTTACCCTTAAATTAGCCGTAATTTTGTTTAAATAAAATTTGCTAATCAAAACATACGTGTTAGCCGATTTTATAGAAAAAAAAGGTTTCCGATATTTTAAAAATACAAAAGCATATTTTTATGGTTAGAAAAAATAACACATAAATTTTTTTATTACTAAATTAGTCGTAATTTTTTTATTAAAAAAAACTGTCAAGCAAAGCAATTGTATTAGCAGAATATTTGGTTTTAAATTTGGAGAATATAATTGGCCGATGTTTAATTGAATTAGCAGTCGTGACGTACATTTTTATTGAAATTTAAAAATAGCTTATTGTAACCAATAACCAAATTTAATTGATGCAGCCTGTGCATTATCAGTTTTTGATATATACATCGTGTCAAACCATCGCAAATATTCGTTAGACCAAATTTAAATCGCAGCCCTCTTTTTTGAAAATAAAAAAATAACAAACTGCTCATTTTAAGGACAACATTTAATGTTGTCCCTGTTTTAGTAAAAAATATATTAAAAATATACTATAAATAGTATATAATTAATGCTGATCAGTTTTGACCAAAGATTAACTTACTATTTTGATAAATGTTACTACCTCCTTTTTTAAATAGATGTCGTTTTGACTGTTTTGATTCATCCATTTTGCTACGTATCTAGACACAAAATGTGTCTAGATACGTAGCAAAATGGATGAATCAAAAAAGTCAAAACGAAATCTATTTAAAAAAGGAGGGAGTAATTCTTATTATATATATATAGATTTGAATTATTTCTTTATTGAACTTGAGAGTGGCACTATGAACAATTGAATTTTGGGAATGTAAGTTGTATATATATTCAGAGAATAACTTAAAATTTGATGGGAGAATATTTTTTAGTGTTTTTTCTGATTCACTTTTGAATCCATAGAATTCGATAATTTAATTAAACCCATCACAATAATACTGAAATTCTATACAAGGAATCATCTGGGCATCCTTAACATTTGAACATTTTAAAGATATTCATTTTTATAGCACACATATGAATTAATTTACTTTATCAAATTGATTTAGTCAATTACAAATAATTTTTTGGCAAAAATTAAAATTATCGATTTTGATAATATTATAGTGAGAAGAGTAATGAATGTTGTTTTCGGTAATAAATCATAATATAAAAAAAATCTAAAAAAAAGTCCTTATTCACATAATCATATGCATACATATTCATCCTTTTGAGTAAACAAATCTCATGTTAGAAAGAGTTATTATAATTTTTAAATGTTAGAAAGAGTTATTATAATTTTTAAATGAAAATATACGCTAATATTATCAAATTTCATATTATATATTTATTTAAATTTATTATTCTATTTTTTTTTTTTGGTACAAGATAAGAGGCCTAAGCCTAACTGAAACTAGAACCTCACACGGCGTGGGTGAGCCACACCTAAAACATCATAATTCAGCCAATGGCCAAGGTCCTGCGGCGGGGTCAGAAGTCGATGATAACCAATTGGAACATTAGTAGCTAGCGAAGCTAACTTATCGGCCGAGAAATTCCTTTTCTGAGCAGCACAGCATTGGGATTTATTCATCTCAACATTAAAAAAAGAAAAAATAATTGACAACACGGGTTTATCCCTCGATTGCAGTGCGCCGTACACAAAGCTAGCTCGGCTCTAGCCGATACAGTCGAAGAGTTCCTTTACGCCTCCATTAGGTTGGTTCCAAATTTCCTTAGTTATCTGTTCATACGCAAAAAAAAACGTGATCACTTGCATTTGGGCAGAGGTTATAGTGGCAGAGGTTATAGTGCTCGGGAATCCTTCCGCAGCTAAATATACCGTTCGAATAATTTCCCGCCTCTTCGAAACCTACATTTACATAACGAAAACAATACGCAACAATATGATTCGCCTGCGTGTATATCACTACATAGTTATACATTATATATATTTATAGAAGAAACAAAAAATTCTTAAAAAGGCCGCAACTCAGTGTTTTTAAGCAGTATTAGCTAGTTTATAATTTATTTAGCTATGAACTTCTAAAAAAAATGTATAACTCATCCAGTTAGCTTCTATAAATAGTTTTCTTTAAC